CAATATATACAAAAGATAAAATAGATGAGCTGACTAACAACCTGCTAATTAGATTACACACCTAATGAATGAAAAATAGAAGAAACAGAATAAAAATGGTTTATATATACGTCATCAAATTCGCTAACAACCAGAATAACGCTACATCCCCCCTTCAAGTTGGAGATTGACGAAACATCACACAAGCCCAACTTAGATGAATACCTGTATCTTCCAAGATATCCAGTATATGCTTCCGTTGATTAAGAAAAATACCTTATAGAGACCTTGCAACTTTAACGCGAAGGAGAAATTTTGCTGCTCCAAGGTCTTTAATAGTAAATTTCGCATGAAAAAATCTATCTGTACATGAGGTTTTAGTGTCAATATATACAAAGATAAATAGATGAGCTGACTAACAACCTGCTAATAGAAGACTACACACCTAATGAATGAAAAATAGAAGAAACAAAATAAAAAATGGTTATATATACGTCATCAACACACTAACAACCAGAATAACGCTACATCCCCCCTTCAAGTTGGAGATTGATGAACATCACACAAGCCCAACTTGGATGAATACCTGTATCTTCCAAGATATCTAGTATATGCTTCCGTTGATTACGAAAAATACCTTATAGAGACCTTGCAACTTCAACGCGAAGGAGAAATTTTGCTGCTCCAAGGTCTTTAATAGTAAACTTCGCATGAAAAAATTTCTTAATTGCTTCAATATTTATTGCATTAGTACCAATAATAAATACATCATTTACATATACTAGAAGAGCTAGAAATGAAGTTGAGGATGACTTGACAAAGAGAAATGATCTACACTTGACTGTTGAAATAAAAAAATTTACAATTGCTTAGTGAACTCAATGTTCCATTGCCTTGAAGCTTTGCTTAAGTCCATATAAAGACTTAAAGTAATTTACATACTTGACCTGGTTTAGTTTTGCTATAACCTGCAGATGAGTCATATACACTTACTCATCAATAAATCCATAGAGAAAAACATAATTTATGTCGAGTTGATATAAAGGTCAAACATTAACAATTGCCCCAGCAATAAGTAATCTAACAGTAACTAATTTAGCTACTAGAGAGAAACTTTCTGAGTAATCAATGCCATCAACCTGATTGTAACCTTTGACTACCAAACGGGCCTTGTGCCTGTCCACACTGCCATCAGGATTTAGTTTTAACTTATATACCCACTTGGAACCAATTGGTTTCTTCCTGTAGGAAGATCGGTATTCTGCCAGGTATGGTTAGCTTCCAGTGTGTCAATCTCTTTTTGCATAGCTAACATCCATTCTGCTTGAGTACATGCATGCTCATATGAATAAGGTTCTTTGACAGATGATATATTTGATAAAAAGGCAAAGTAATTTTTAAATAAACGATTATGTGAA